AAATTTTCTGCATCACTCCTATGTCACAGTGACTCCTTCCTAAGCCAAAAAAACACTAGTGGATGAAAAAAACTGAAGAGAAGAGTGCTAAACACTAGCATTCCAATGGAAGGCGGGACAGGGGCCAGAGGAAGACAGAAAACCACAAATGTCAGATTCAGGGTGGACCAAACAACACAGAAGCACTTTGCTCAGGCATATCAGCTGCACGCAGATATAATTCACCTCCCCTGATGGAACTGCTTGGTATCCTCAGCAATATCTGAGAGAAACTCTAGGAACCTGAGATATAAAATACACCTACTACACCAAAATGGTAATTTTCTAAAGCAGCTTCCTACAGTTCAGAGAATCAAAAGAGAAGTTCCTGCTGCATTACTGCGTTTGCTATCTCTCTTTTTCTCTCTGTCCAAACCCAAGCTAAGTAGAAATGGACACTATTCTGCTCTGCTGATGGTCACAATGACAACATCTGTGCCTTGCAGTCTTCAGTCACAACTTACTGATTGGAGTTGTGGTCATCAGCTGATAGACCAGAGAGAGAGAAGCATGCAGATACAAAGGAACCCATTGGGACACGTGTAACTGTAAGTCTCTAATTATCCTTTCTAATTTTGGAGCCATGTGACTGGACTTCACACAGCACCGCTGACCCCGTCAGCATGAGTGCTGTGTAGCTGGACCACAAAGGGAGGGGAGGCTACGCTTGACTCCTTCATTAAAATATTGTGTTACATGGCAGGGTGTGCTCTTTCCTGGCTGACATGCAGCTCTCCAGTCAACGATCAGGGAGAGCACCTGGGAGAATTTAACTATTCCTAGCCATATCTGCTTCGGGATTTTGAGAGGCTTTTTTTTTCCTTATGCAGAGTGACCTATTAGGTATCACAGGATCTATAATGCTTATTCTTAAAATTCTGAGTACTGCCCTTTGTTGAGCAATGTCCACCAATTCTCCGAGTGGGTTTTCCCTTTGAGCAGCAAATAATACTTTAAAAGACAAACAGTGATTTTCACACACACACACACACAAAAGTTCTTCTCAACCAGACAGTAGAATATAACAGATCTGGTATCTTTCTATTTCATATGTGTAGGGACAGCAGCCCGAAGATATGAAGTTGTTCCTGGGAGAGGGGGTGGAGATTTGCTAACTTGTTACAACCTCCTCATCACCACTTTCAGCTACCTCCACCTTTCTTTAAAGATGCAATGCAACAGAGATAATGTCATTCTCTGCTCCAAAGAAATCACAGTCCGATACTGCCACTGAAGTAATCTTGAATGACAAAGTAGAGACACATATTGAAATAGCAAAAGATTTAAAAATATATCTAAGCAATACAGAACAAATACATTTTTCTTGTGTTCAACAAATGTTACAGGATTTGTCAGGAAATCTTTATCACCGGACACATAATTTACAGGTCTATTTCAGCATAGCTCAGTAAGAGCAGGAGCCCTGGAAGGCAGGTTCAAGGGCTAGGTGTGCTGCTAACCATCTGTGCAACTTTAAGGAAGTTATTTAACCTCTCTGTGCCTTGATTCCTTGTCTGAAAAATAAGAATATTAATAGTTCCTTTCTTTATCCCAGCTTATTATGAGACTGAAGTACCATGTGTTCACAGAATAAATAAAATCTATTGGGCTACATATAATATTCAAGTATTTTAGAGACTAGAAATATAATCTTGTAATATTTTCTACTAGCAGACAACTAACATTTTACGCATTAAAATCAAGACCTTAATAGGGATGGGCTTAACTTCCTCAGCTGCCCTACACAATATCAAAGAGCTCACCATATCAGAGAACTCACTCTTAACCTCCCTTCTTCCGCGCCTTCCTCAGAGCACACTTCAGACAGTGTGATCAGACCCCAGCCCATGACTAAGGAACAGGAGAGGCTGGTAAACACAGATGAAATGCTGAGCATATGTACTTTGTAAATATCGTATCTACTAATGAAATTGGAAAATATGTTTTTTGGATTCTAACTGGCCCTCAGTGCTTGGCTGAGGGAAGTTAATTATTGTACAGTCAGCAATCACTGGACTTCCCAAACAGGCAAAATACCTCTGTGTTTACCTCCTTACCTTTGCAGAAGGATGTTTCAATGCGGAAGAAATTTTACAACACTGCTCATGGATTACTTTAAAATTTTATAGAACATGTTTATTAATGACTTGGTAAATTTTTCTTCAGTATCAATAATAACACACACAAATACCACCATCACCACCACCACCAACAACAACAACCAGCTCTACATTTAGAGCTTGGTTTCTTGAAAACAGAGCAAGACTTCCACCTCTACAGACACATGGCATGAAAGAAACCAGATCAAAAGAAAAGAAAGAATTCTAATAGAAAAGACCAGGCAATAGAACAGCAAAAGGACCGGGGCTAGGAGTCAGCTAACTTGAATTTGAGTAAGAATCTATCATATGAAAGGCATGTGGCTTTGGATAGTTCCCAAACTGGGATACAGGGACTTTATTATAAAATAAAGTTATCTAAGGTCCCCTTCAAGCTGTAAAATCTCATACTTATTCAACCCATAATGCTAAAACAATTCCTGTGGTAGTGTAACTTCTCTAAACCACCCAAGAAAACCGAAGTGGCTGAAGTAAAATATTTTCCAGTTCTTTAAAGCTTCTTTTTTTTTGAAGCAAAACATTTTATTGGCACAGTTTAGATATACATATAACAAATGTTTTGCTTCGAAAAATAAAATAAGAATTAAACCTTCCCAATCACAAAAAATTTTCTTAATTATTAAACCTGTGACCACCTTTTTAAATCCTAAATATAGACATCCATCATAAAATAAAATTTCCTTCACCTATAATCACTTACTAGCTCGAAGAACACAAAATCAGGGGCCCTGTCCAGTTGGGCTCTCTACATCACAAGCAGTGCTTGTGGAAATGTGGAAAGACCCCCAGTCAAAAGCCCTGAAGGAGGAGGCTGGGGTTAGGAAAGAAGCCAGGCTGGCTCATCCCTAAGACATTTCTCATTCAGTACTAGGATTTGGTCCTTCACCACTAAATCCGATCTAGTTTGGCCACACAAGAAAGGGAGTTAAATGTGAGGCGCTAAAATCCTACGATCTACTCCAGTGTGACTCCGTCCATACTAATGACTGGCACCTATGTCACCCAAACAATGACTATTTCCGGAACAGGATGCAAAAGCCAGACATCTAACAAACCTTTATCTTATTCCATCCTGCTCCGACTCACTGAGTGAGGCTCATCTCTTCTCTTCGCTGACATGCCTGCCCTGTGACTTCCAGGTCAGGTCTCTCAGCCCAAACCACTCAGTGCCCCAACCTGTTCTGGTCTGTGATATAAACACTCACTGCAGAAAGTCCAGAGGGAACTGCACTGAGATTATTTGCAAACCTGTCCTATAGCATTTTATCACAATGTATAGTCCCCAGGGATGATGATGAAGCTGAAGGACTACACTGGCACCCTCCAATGAAGAATGTCCCCTCTCAGTCTCAAGGGTGTCCCTAGTCAGGGATGTCTCCCCTTAGGGACGGCCCCCCCTCAGAGATGCAGGAACTCTAACTGTAGACCCTCTGCCCAGACGATTCCGATCCAGACACTTACTCAAGCTCTTATGACTTTATACCAAGCACTGTGCTCCCTGCTCTCCACTATATATTAAGCCTTTAAATCTCACTGCCACACAGCACACTGAAGATCATTATTTCCATTTTGCAAATAAATAAATCAGGTATCTGACAGACTAGGTGGCTTGTCCAAGCAATTCAGAGCAAAGTCTTGTGCTTTTGAGACCTGTGTTCTTTTCATTATCTCACTGTGACCCAGTAAGAAAACTCATATCCACACCCCATTTCACGTGGCAATGCAGGCCTGCAATGTTATGATGTAGCAGGTATATTTGATCACCCACCTAACCAGAAACCTATAAACTGGTTGTGAAAAGTGCTAACACAGGGTGGACTCTTCAAAAAGAATATGAACACTGACTTTTAAAAAAGCACTTACTTTTTTCACAGAAGTTTAAAATAGTTTATCCCCAAGTAACCTTTCTTCCACCCACTCACATACACACACCACACACACACACACACACACACACACAGGTAAAAATATGTCAAACCAGGGGCCAGGTATTTAGCTCAGTGCCTGCCTCAAAAGCGTAAGGTCCCAAGTTCGGTCCCGGCTACCAAAAAAACCCAAAGAAAACATCAAACCAAATTCATAAAGCTTACAGAGTTTAGCATTCTTTGCTCACGGATGGAGATGCTAAATGACAGGCAGGTGACCTGAAGATGATGGGCAGGAAAAAATGAAACACTACACAATCCATAAACGCACAAGGAATCACTAAATGACAGGATGGTGTGTGTAACCCATATAATTTGTCACTTTATCTCCCAGAGAAACTTAAATCTTAGAGAGAGAAAATGTGTATAACCTTGCCAATGTATCAGTCTTATCAAGCATTCATATCAGATTCTTCCTCTCAATCTCAGGAACAAGACGACAACCAGACAGGCAGATCAGGACCCCAGGGGAATAGGCTGGAAGTGACCTGGTGACCTCCTAATGCAAAACCCTCAGTTCCTAACCAAGAAGTCTCCGGACTAATCAAATAACCTGTTCCACAGCATCAATCAGTGTCAGTATTAAAGTAAAGTTCTTTTAACAGAACACACCAGTGCCATCAGAGCTGTATCATCGGAACTAAAACCTATGCATAGTCCACAAGTATTTGTTCAGGGTCCATTCCCATATGGCAAGCCAGGAAAACACCACAGCATACAATGCCTACAGCTTGCCAATTTGGTAAACCACTGAGGCATACTCTGCATGCCCTTAAAGCCCAAATGACTTCTTACTCACATTGTTTTTTTATATCCACAGAAACTGGCCAAATGCTAAATATATTCCACACTTGAATTTTCCCAAGAGAGAATGCCACCACCACCACCATGAAACTGTTAAGAATGGGACTAGTACCTTCCCCAGAAAGCAATCTCCGGAGAGCCTTTTGAGTAGATGGAGTCGGTGGTATCATTCAGCCCGTTGGCCATCCCCCTAGAGTAGCCCATCACTATGCCTCCATCCGATGAGACACTCAGGATGTCCTGATGTTCTCTCACTGAAGTCCTCTCCAAGAACTGGCCACCTTCTTTGATGCGCTGCTGTATCATTGGAGTAAGGGGCATTTCAAAGCTAAAGTAGCTATCAGGCTCTGAGTATAATGTCTCCAATGACTCTGCACTGTAGTATAAAGAAGTGTTGTCCAAAATGGTCTCAAACTGGGAGCTGTACACATCAGTGGAGTCTTCTGTATATCCGGTCCCAAGAATATCATCATCTCCTTCCCGAAGGTGGTCTTCTTCCTCCAGAATCCTGGAAAGAAAGTAAGAGTAAAGAATTTCAATATTGTTAATTTTTTTCTTTTTATTTTGCCCCTTCAACGAAAGGATTATGTGTATTTGTTTGTTTGGTACCGGGGATTGAACTCTGGTATTGTGCTTGCGAGGCAGGCAGCAGAACCACTGAGCTAAATCCCCAGCCCCAACAGAAGGATTATGTTCTGTAGGTGTAATTCATATTCACTGAGTTTATATCTCAACCTATTTGGCTAAGAAGATATGAAACACATTTAGGTTGAAAAACTTCTCAGCATATATATGTTATTATCCTGTAAGTAATTTAATAAAGTTTCAAACTAGTTTCCTAGTGCGCAAATACATCTAATCCAATGAATAATATTTGAGTAAAATACTAACTTCTCATTTTACTCAGCTATATTCCACAAATTCAGATTGCATATAACAAACATCATTCTTACTCATCTTTCTTAATTATAACTAAAAGCAGCCCAGTGTGCACACCTGTAATCCCAACACTAATGGGAAATTGAGGCAAGAGGATCACAAGTTCTAGCCCAGCCTGGGCATTTTAGAAATTTACTTAGCAAGACCCTGTCTTAAAAAAGGGCTGGGAAGACAGCTCACTGTGAAGGTCCTGGGTTCAATCCTCAGTACCTCAAAAAAAATGGTAACAGAAGCAGAAAAACACATCATGTAAATTTGACACAGTAAACTTTCAGTAAAACTACACTAAACTGATTTAAAACCACATGCCCTGGAGACGGTGACGCATCAGTATCCAAGTGCTGCCCTCTGCTGACAGTGAAGTAGCACTGCAGAGTTCAGGTCCCAGACTGAGGCAGCCAATACTTGACCCTAAAACAGACAGCCTGATTGTAAGGCTACCCAAAACCCAGGGAAGCTAGAGACAACTTACAACTTCATATACATGGGTGCGGTGTTAATCTTGCCATGCAAACATGAGAAATTAATATGCAATGTGTTTTTTAGATATTAAAAGTGAAGATTAGGATAACTAAGTAAAAATGAAAGCCTGGGAGATAGCTCAGTAGTAAGAGCAAGAGGCCAAGAGTTAGAAAAACCTGGAGCTGAATTTTGAGTGTCAATTAGCTATGTCACTCGAGGCAACTTCTCTGTGTCTCTGATTCCTAGAAATAGAAATAAAATAGAAATAGGATCCTCTATTAAGTATCTCATAAGTAATCTGAATTCCTGGGTATGCCAGAATTCATATACAAACAATCCAGTTGTCTCTGTTTCTCTCAAATTATTGATCATCCATCTTGTACTAAATAATATTTTGGATTTTCACCTCCTAATAGCTTCCCATTGCTCCTAGAATAAAACAGAAAATTCTCAAGCAGATCTTTCTCCCCCATTTTCTGCCCGGCTCTTATGCATTTTTCAAATTTCAGCTTAATTGCTATTTCCACAGAAAGGCTTCACCCAAACCATCAACTGCATAAGCCTCTCCCCATCCATTCAAATTCTGCTTTCTAACATGTCTTCATTCTTTTCCTTCAAAGTGCCTAGCACAATCTGCGATCCCATACTAATGAACGTGGTCAATGTTTATCTTCAGCAGTAAATTCTATGAGGACGGTGACCACCATGGACCAGATATACTTTGACATGCCTTTATGTAGAGCATCTAGCAGGGTCAAAGGCACAGTAAACAACTGAAAACTATTTGTGGAAAGAAAGGAAGGGAAGGAGAGAGGAAAAGAGGAATAGATGAATAATCCAAACAACAGCAAAAGTGCATATTCCAGTGGGAATAGAAATAGCCACATGCCACATAACAAGATGCTTTTGAAGGAAGTCCAGAGGGTTTATGTTGGAAGGAGGAAGATCCTGATAGTCGTCTCAGGGGATGTGCTAATTGTAGAGAAAAAAGCATTTGCTCCTATAGAACAAAAACAAGACAAAACACTCTTCAGCCTTTTTCTGTTCTCCTATAGAATATAATGGGGTGTCATGAGAATTGACAGAAGGAAGATGGTACAAATTCCAAGTGAAATAGGGCAGAAAAAATAAAGACAGGTAGAAAGGAGATCAGTCAGGCATGGTGGCACATGTCTGCTTTCCCAGCATTCCATTCTGGGAGGCTGAGACAAGAGGATCACAAGTTCACACCCAGCCTGGGCAGATTAGCGATTTGGTAAGACCTAGTAAGACCCCCTCTTAAAAAGGGCTGAGAATATAGCTCCATGTGAAGATCCTGGTTTATTCCCAGTACAAAAAACAAAACAAAAACTATGACTTCCGAGGGCCAGGGATTTAGCTCAGTGGTGCCGCCACCTGCCTCGCAAGTACAAGGTCCTGAGTTCAATCCCCCATACCAAAAAAAACCCAAAAACTATGACTTCTGGACACAGGTTATCTATGTCCATAATCCAACTAAAGGATACCTCCAAGAACACACATATATTCCCAACCCCAGGCCATATGCGCCTGTCCCCCTTGAATGTCAGCACTCTTTAACTCTGCCTAATAAATGCTTTCTATGCCTCTTACTGATGCGTCCTGAAATTTCTGTTCTCTCATGAGAGTCAAAACCTATTAGGCAGTCTGAGTTGAGGTCCCCAGCTCCAATTTGGGGGAGCTGCTCAGACCCTGTCTGGTGACAGAAGTATAGTACACAACAAATGACTTGGCCGAAAGGAACCTTGCATAGTCAGACTACAACCAGAGGGAGTGACGAAAAATGAGTCATGTCTTCCATTTACCCAGGCTCTAAGCTGGTATGGCATCAGCAACGTAGGGAAAGACCAGGAAATCTCACATCATGCCAAGTTTACGTGTCCAGCCATAAATCGAAACACATGCTACATGACAAGAAGGGATTCCTATGTGAATACTATGGGACAGATGAATTACAGACTCCACTTCTGACGGTCCACTTTCGAGCTGTCCCTTCTGAACACAGAATACTGCATGGCCCCAAATCCAGAAGCTCTGTGCTCACGCACGAAAGCAGGCTGTGCTGTAGATGGTATGCGCAGCTCTGCAGTCCCTGGTTGTCCAAACAGAAGAAATGCCTAAGAAAGGACGATATGGTCCTGTGGGATATGTCGACAGAGTTCAAATACTGTGGTATTATTCAAAATAATTAGGGAGTGTTTCAGTTATCTTGATGCTGGAAAACACAAAACCTGTCAACTATAACAAAATGTCAGAGATGGCTTTGCAAAGCTGAGCGCTCCTTGTCTCATCAAGACTCTTGTTTCCTTGGTTGATGCCCATTACAATATAATAGAAGTTATTTAGAACTTCTAAATTATTTATTCCCCCAATTCCCCATTTATTATCCACAAACCTCTGCTGACCATGGGTAATTGGAACCTCCAAAACCAAAATGCAGGGAAAGCCTACCTTGTGGTGAGTTGAGTTTTTGTATCAACCACAAAACAATGGTTTTCTGGAGTATGCTCCAGGCATCACAGTGGCAGGCTACTCTGGGAGCTCACCTTTCATTGTCTCTCTCGGGTTTCTTCTCAAGATGTTGGTTTTCTTTCAGGAAGACTTCATCCTCTCCACTCTCAGCAAGAGGCACGGGGGAAACCGTCCCGGAGCTAGTGCCAGGCCTCCCTGAAGAAGCATTCCAAGTGTCATCTTGAACACTCTCAGTTAAACTCACTGAATTACTCCAGGCACCCGCTGAGACGTGATGGCCTGGCGACCCGGTAAACTCTCCACCTTCGGGAAAGGCTGTCCTTTCCGATGGTGCCACCCAGTCTACCCTAGAATGCTGGGTCTTTCTCTTCTCTCGTCCTGTCCACAATATCTCTACCCCTTGAAATTCCACATGTTTGACCCGGCCAGTGCGTCCCAGGGAACTGCCTCGATCATACCCCGCCGAGCGCTGTCTCCCAAGATCCGATCTCTGCTCTTCCAAAAAACCCACACTGGCTGCAGAAATGGACATCACATCTGAGCTCTGAAAGAAGGATCCAGGACAGGCCGGCTCCTGCACATGGACAGACCCCTCTCTCCCATTAGTAGCTGCCTCGGTACGCTCTGCTTGAGTTTCTCCAGTTAACAGTGCAGTCAGATCCTCCTGGATGCTCAAGTAAAATTTTTCCTCAGTCTTTTCTTCAGCTGCAAGAGGTATAGCTGGTGCTTTTTCTTGGCTGGCAGGGAATGGTTCAATGCCTCTCGGTGTTTTACAACGGGCTGTGTCAGGCTTTTTCTCCACCTGCTGAACTGAAAAACCAGAAACAGCATCTTTGTCCAGTACCTTCGTAGCCTGTAATGTTCCTGAAGCTATTCTGGCTTCTGTGGCTTTCAGAGCTGAAATCAAAGAGTCAATGGGTTGTAAACTTTGTTCCTTGAGGTGACTTTGAGAGGGGGCCTCTTGGATATTTTTTGGTCCTTCTGTAACACTGTGGAGCCCAGAGTCTTGGCCGGCAAGGTGGAGTCCCTGCTCCGCGGGTGGGCAGCATGGCAGAGACTCTGCATGGAACTCCAGAGAAGCCCTTAGACCTTCTCCACCTTCCTCCATGGTCCCATATTCTGGAAATTCATTTGTGACATTCGGTGGCAGTAAAGTGCTTCCTCCATGATCACCTATGAACACACAGAAGGGAAACATGACTTTCTGAATACCAGGGTATGGTGAGTATTAATAAATATCTAAACATATTAACTATTCGATAATATTTTATTTGATTCTTTCACTACATTTTTCCATCCAATACCCTGTAATACGTATCCTCTAACCTTACAGCAGCCCCTTCTGCTACATTCACATCACCACAAAAGTTGCATCCTGGGAGGCAGTGGAATGATACGTGCCATATTTAAGGCTGCTGAAGAGGGTTGTAACTCAGCTGTCTTGTATAGAAAAAGAAATGAAAACAAGGATAAAGATCACCACCCAAATACCACTGGTAAAGTACCCACTAAAATATTTATACTGGGCATCATACCAAATAGCCTTATCAATGTGCAGGGCAGTCTCTGAGACACGGCCTCCGCAAAAAGACACTATTTCAAGTCAGTAAATATTTTTTCAGCTTGATGTCTCCCCTTTCCCTGTCAGATTTCTATGGGGGAAAAAAGGCTGTGAAAACATCCCTAAAGAATGACAGTGAAGCCAAAGTGAAATAGGAAACTTAATGTGTTGACAAAGATTTCCAGGATCCCAGCTGCCTGAAATTTTTATCATTTTACTTACTTTTTAATTGACAAAATAAGTTGTACTTATTTATGATATGTGACATGATGTTTTGATATATGGATACATTGTGGAATGGCTAGATCAAGCTAATTAATGTATCTTACCTCACAGTTTTTTTATGGTAAAAACACTTAAGATCTACTCTCTTAATTTTCAAGTATACAACCATTGTTATTAATTGTTGTCACAATCTTGTACAGTTGATCTCTTGAATTGATTCCTCCTAATTAAAAGTTTGCCTCCTTTCCCCAGGTCCCTGCCCTCTTCCCCCAGTCCCTGATAACCACCATTCTGCTCTCTCCTTCTACGAGTTTGACTTTAGATTCCACATATGAGATCACAAACTGCATAAATATTAACGATATCATATCTAGAACCTCAATATATGAAACAGAACAAAACAATGTTTAATTAGGTTATATTTGTTATAATGGATCACATTTACACTTTCCTGTCAAAATAACAGTGAAAGTGAAAATGGGAACATCTTGATTTAAAAATTTTAAAATAAGGGTTTTTGGCTAAGAGTTTCAGTCATATTATGCTGAGTATCCAATCCCTTCTGAACTTAGTTTTGGTTACTGTATCACAAAAATATTCATCTACACTAGAAATATTGTGTACTCACTTCTACTTCATGAAAGAGGACACTTGTTTTAAAACCACCATAGAGCTTCAATCTTCCTATTTAGTAAAATATTTCATAAATGTCAAAATACATACACTGAAATGGTATGAAAGACATGACTCAAGCATTGACAAAACGAGGTTATTTACAAATGAGCCAACACATGGAATTCTTTGTGCATCAAAATGTGTACATCTAAAAGTGTATACTGTGTCATATTCCACTTTTTAAAATAATTGGAGGGACGGGGATTTAGCTCAGTAGTTTCACCGCCTGCTGCACAAGTGCAAGGACCCGAGTTCGATCCCCGGTACCAAAAAACAAACAAACAAACAAAATAATTTGAAATATACTTTTCAAATTAAATTTGAATCAGGTGTTGATGCAGAAACAGTGCTGTGTGATAACAGTACTCTTAACACCTTCACCAGACAGAAATATCCCACATAGCAGTGGGATAGGCCCTTAGTTCAACCACTAGTACCATTTAAAAAAAAAGATGTGGCTTGCTGAAATCTGAAAAGGAAGGAACTTTTCAAACCTGGTTTTGAAAGGGAAGACAGCAAACTAAAAAACAAACAACCACAACAACAAAAAGAGATCCCTTTCCCTAGGGCAGCACATTGACAATTTTATTCTTTCAGCAGAGAATGTGGTAGGACCTTTCATTTCTTCTCTTTCAGATTCAGTGGTTGGTATTATGGTCACAAAACTGTGCAACTGTTCCCATATCTAGTTCCAGAACACTTTCATAATTCCAAAAAAGGAATCTTGCATCCATTAATAGTCACTCCCTATTGGCCTCACGCCTCAGTCCCTGGAAGCACCAATCTATTCCCTATCTCTTGGGATTTGTGTGTGCTGAGTATTATATATAAATGCTTTCGTATCATATGTGTTATTTGAGGTCTGGTTTCTTTCACTTAACACTATGTTTTCAACTTACTTATTCATGTTGTAGCATGTATCAGAATTTCATTCTACTTTATCACCAAATAATATTTCATTACATAGAAATAACACATTTTCTTTATCCATTCATCAGTTGATGAATGTTTAGGTTGTCTCTATTTTGGCCACTATAAATAATAAATTTATATACAAGTTTATGTGTCTAAATGTATTTTTAATTCTCTTGGGTAAGAGTGGAATTTCTGGGTCACATGGTAAATCTGTTTAATGCTTTAAGGAACTGCCAAATAGTTTTCCAAAATTGCTGCACTATTTTACATTCCTTGTGCTGTGTCCAAGGGTTCAATTGTTTTCCATGTTTTTTTTTTATTACAGACATCCTAGAACATATTTAGTGGTATCGTACTATGATTTTGATTTTACTAATGACTAATGATGCTGAGCATCTTGCCATGTGTTTATTGCTCATTTGTGTATCTTCTTTGGAGACATATTTATTCAGATCCTTTGCCCATTTTAAAATTGGGTTGTCTTTTTATGATTTAGTTGTAAGCTTTTATAAATATCTTCTCCCAGTCCGTGAGTTATTTTTTTACTTAATTAATGATGTTTTTTGAAGCACAATCTTTCTAATTGGATTAAAATCAAACTTATTCAGCTGTGTGTGGTAGTACATTCCTGTAAGCCCAGCACTCTGGAAGAATGAGGCAGAAGAATTGCAAATTCAAGCCCCGCCTTGGCAACTTAACAACTTAGGGGAACCATGTTTCAAATTAAACATTTTTTAAAGTCCTGAGGATATAGCAGGGTGTGAAGACGTAGGGTTCAACCTCAGTACCACAGAAATAAATAAAAATAAGTAAATAAATCTAACACCTATTTTTCTTTTGTTGCATATGCTTTTCTCACATGTAACAAATCACTGTCTAATTCAAGGTTAGAAATAATTTTTCCTATATTTTCTTCTAAGAGCTTTACAGTGTTGGCTATTGCATGTAGATCTTCAGTCCATTTGAGTTAATTTTTAAATGCGGTGTGAAATAGAGATTCATCTTCATCCTATTGCCTGTGAATATCCAACAGTTTCAGAACTATCTGTTGAAAAGATTGCTATCTTTTCCCATTGAATTGCCTTGATAATCCTGCAGAAAATCAACTGACCATAAATGTAAAGGTTTTTCAAGACCTTCAATTCCATTGCACTGAACTAGACATCTATCTTTAGGCCAGTGTAATACTATCTTAATTTCTGTAGCTCTGTAATAAATAAAATCTGGAAATGAGAGTGCTCCAACTTTGTTTTCCACTTCCAGGCATTTTGGCCACTCTGGGTCCTTTGCATTTCTCATATGAAATTCAAGATGTCAAACAGTTGAGATTTTGATAGGAACTGCAATGAATCTATAGAGTATAGGATTCTTAGCAATATTACTATTACATCTTTCAATCTATGACCATGAGTTGTCTTTCCATTTATTTCAGCTCCTTTAATTTCTTTCAATAGTGTTTTGTAGTTTTAAATTTATAAATTTTCAAATTACTTTTGTTAAATTTATTCTTTTTTATACTACTTATCAGTGAAATTGTTTTTCTAACTTCATATATCGATCATTGATACTAGGCATATAGAAATACAATTGGTTACAACATTGGTCTTAGATCCTGCAATCTGCTGACTGTGTGTTTTAGATCTATAGAATTTTTATAGGTTCCTTGGGATTTTCTATTTATGAGGTCATGTCATCTGTGAACAGACAGAGCTTTACTTCTTCCTTCCTAATCCCCGTTCATCCTTCACATATACTATCTCTCTCAACTCCCCTTTCAAATATGTTATACTAATGCCTCTAAACTGAAGGTGGGTACAGCACAGACATACTCTGAAAAGGTTCTAATTCTAAGTTATTCCAGAAATAAAGTTAACTCTGTGGACACTCTGAACTGTACAGTACTTCGCCTTTGTTCAGCCTCTTTTTCAGGTATGACATACTTCTCATCTCAACATAAGATTATTTTCACCTTCCAAGATCCAACTCCAATTCCTCCTCCTTTAAGAGGCTTCCCTTAATCACCATCTTTGAAAGAAATCACAAATATCAAGAGAAAGTCAACTGTGTAAAAGCAGTACAAATACATGAAATCAATAAGCACACCACTCGCTCATATTTAAAAGCTTCAGAAGCTACAAATTTTAACCTATCATGAACTATTTTATGAAAACCAACCACAGTGACCACTGAAGTTACATAACACCAAACCATAACATAGTGAATCCATTCAACAAATTGATAAATGTTAAACTTATCATGGAGGGGCCCACTTTTTCCTAATAGTTTAAGTTGCCATCTATAAAACAGCCATGAAAATTAGCACTGGCTCAGAGAAAGATAACCACCACCCCCAAGAAGATTAAGAAAAGAGGCCTCAAAAATTTTGATAATTTGTTCGCCATTCTTCCCCCTTTTTTTAAAATTTTGCAACAAGGTCTCAAGAAGTTGCTCAGGCTGGTCTCCAACTTGTCAACCACCTGCCTCAGCCCCCGAAGTAGCTGGGATTATAGACATGCATGAGCACAAGGGCTTTCCTCTCAGTTTTAATACTCCTCATTGAAATGTTCTTCAGAAAGGGACAGCAAAGGCACCAATTGTGGGCAAATACTTGTGATGTTTGATAAAACTTGGCAACTGGTCAAAGCAAAAGAAATTAGATAAAGGGGAAATGGACAAAAGTAAATTCCTATCTGACACATAGCTGGATTCACTATTCAGTAAGGTCTTCTGGTTTAAATTTACTGTTCTAATAAATACTACCCTAATGAGTCTAATTTACGCTTTTAACTAAAAGTAT